AAAAAAAAAAAAAAAAAGAGGAAAAAGATGGGGAAGACAGATGAAAGACTTTCCCTTTAGATAGTGCTGAATGAAGCAGGGTAATGGATATATGTGCATGCACTGTATTTTTATATGTCTAAAAATTAAAATAGTACATGTTTTGTGGGTTGTGGTAGTAAATCCAAGCACTTACTAGGTTGAGCAGGAGAATCACCATGAGGGCTAGCCTGGGCTACACAGCAGAGACAATGTCTCAGTCGCAACAACCAACCCCATTTTGTTTATAAATGTTGGGGTTTTTTATATATTACTTTCCACCCTTACAACAACCTTGTAGGGTAGGTTTCATGTCCCTCATATTTATACAAGAGCAAGTCCAGGGTCACAAGCTGTAGAGCTCTCCCCAGAGTCACACCACCGGTATGCAGGGAGCCAAGACTCAAGCGCTCCATGGCCTGTTAACCTGTGTGATCAGACATACAGACATAAGCTCTCAGATCCCCTTGCCATGTTGCCCTTGTGGGTCTCAGGAATAGGACAGAGCTAAAAGACGACAAAAAATGAGGTTCCCTGTGGGCTGCTAGACTCCGGGATAGCTGAGCCATCCTTCCTCTGCGAGCTGTCCATCGCTTCTTCCTGAGGTAAGCAGAGTGAGATAGCAGGGGGACTACTGTCCCAATGCCCGAGCTCAAAGTCACACAGGTGACTGACAAAGAACCTGGGCCTCTCAGCTGCTCAGTCTTCATTCCCGAGGATGAAGCTCCACAATGATGTTATTAACTTGGCTTTCCATTCGCGGGCACTGAACAGCAGCATTCACTGTACCTGTGATCACATCTGGTAAAGACACAAGAGAGGACTTCCTGACCTGCTTCTGAAAGTTACAAGAACAAAGGGATAAGTGGGTTTGAAACAAGGGAAAGTATTTTCCAGGGGTTTAATGGCAATGTGTCTTTAACAGTATTTTTAAAGATGTAAACATTCACCATGTAGTTCAATCACAACTGGTATAGAAGCATTCTCATCATGATGGGCTCCATGAAGGAGATGGACAGGATCCAGGCCCTATGGTCTGAGTGGAATTTTCTCAGGTGGAAGGGAGGGGAGGGTGGATTGTGAATAGTAGAATTTTAAATTTCTACTGTTGTAGAGAATTTTAAATTTCTACTAATGTGGAGCGCTGGGGGTATAAACTCAGTGGCAAAATATTTGCCAACAATATTTGAGGCCCTGGGTTCCATCATCCCTGCCCCAGCACTATTAAAAGATCTCAAAAGTTTCAAAATGGAATTTTGAGAGGTAAGGATTTATGCAATTTGACTCATGAGAAGAAGCTCCAGAAATAGGTTTGGAAAGGTACTCATGCCTATAATCCCAGCACTTGGGCAGCTGAGGTAGGAGGACTGCCACATGATCAAGACCAGTTGGGGTTAAATGGTAAGGTCAAGGCCATTGTAAATTATATAGTTTTTCTCAGAAAACTAAACAAAAGGTAGGTTCCATGGTATTCAGCCCCTTTCCTCTGATCTACCATTTTAGCAAAAAAACAATTCTTCTCTGTGACCATTCATTCTTAAGTGAATGTGCTCAGGCCCCCAGAATGACCTGAAAAAAGTTTGATTGGAACCCCAGTGACCAATCACTGCTCCCCCAACAGTTCCCAATAGGAATTCAAGACTTAGGGCACCACAAGTCCCCTTAGAGCGATGGTGGCACACTTATGGGATACATGTCATCACCAGCTGTTTGTTATCGTCGAAAGCTCCAAGAGGTTCACCATCACTGCCCTAGAGGGTCTGGGTATAGCTCTATGCACCTCGGAAGGGATGAGCTGGATACATGGGAGGAGCAGTGGGAGGCCCAGATGGGGTTTAAATTGGTCAGGGACTTGGGACAAATTGAACCTCTATTTCTTTATTCTTTATTCTCATCCTGGAACTCATTCCCAAGAACCGGGTTGCCTCTTGAGGTGTATGTATCAACTCTATGTACAGCCCAACAGTTACTTGGCCAGCACAGCTGCCTTCCCACTCTTCACATAAGGTGCCAATTTTCATGCCAGATTGCTGTTGAGCATTAGCTCCCTGGGTTCTCAGAACAATCTTATAAGGTAGGTACAGTCAGCACTCTGTGGGTTCCTTCTTCACGGACTCCACCAATTGCAGATTGAAAATATCCTTTTAAAAATCATATC